GACAGCCTGGGCTACATAGCAAAATCATGTCCTCCCCCTCCCCAGCCCAAAGAAGGTAGGAGCTTAAAAGTCAAGAGTTCAAAGCCAGCCTGGTTTACAAGAGAAATTGTCTCAAAGATAAAAAGCGGGGGGGGGGGGGGGTGAATGCATAGCTCAGCGGTAGAATGTCAGCCCAGCATGTGGCATGTGCAAAGCCCTGGGATACATCGCTAGTACCACATAGAGCAGCACATGCAGGAACTGGAAGGAGATAGGAGAGATATGGGAGATGCCCTGGGTCCTTGGGCTGAGAGACCTTCAGTTCTGGCAGATGAATAGACTTTTAGACATCAGCTGTACAGCATCATATCTGTTGTCAGCACCACCAAACCACTGACTTAGAAATCTCTTCGGAGAGCAATGTCTCATTGTGCTTCCTATCACAATGGTTAACACATGAATACTAAATAGAAGAACTCTAAGCCTCTGGCTCAGACCTGTAACCCCCCACGTTCAGAAGGCTGAGGCAAGATGATTTTCATGAGTTTAAGGCTTGCTTGGGCTACTAGTAAGTTTCAGGGCAACCCAGGTTACAGAGTGAGACCCTTTTTCCAATAAATACATAAAGAAAGGATAACCTACATGTCCTACAGTAGGGAAAACTCAACTGAGACAGTGATATCATACTGTGGAAAATTATAAAGACAAAGATAAATTTATAGATAAAAGATACATTTGACACATCGAAAGATGGCCCAGCAGTTAAGATATCTTAGCGTTCTTCCAGAGGACTCAAATTCAGTTCCCAGCACCCATGTTAGGCAGATCACAACTGCCTATAACTCCAGCCACAAGGGTGCCCTCTTCTGGTCACTACAAGTAGTCACACGTCTCTCTCTCTCTCTCTCTCTCTCTCTCTCTCTCTCTCTCTCTCTCTCACACACACACACACACACACACACCACAATTAAAAATAAAATTAAATCCTAAAAGAATAAAAAGGGATTGGCAATATGGCTAAGCTAGTCATGGCACTTGCTACCAAGACTGATGACTTGACCTGAGTTTGGTTTCTGGAACCAGCATAGTGGGAGAAAAACTCCACTACTGCACGTTGTCCTCCAACCTCCATACTTGGGCCTGAGGTATAAATATGTGCGTTCTTTCTCTCTCTCTCTCTCTCTCTCTCTCTCTCTCTCTCTCTCTCTC